TGATTTAGTTATTTAGAGTTTGCAAATAATACTTTCATGAAGTTATATTATTAAGAGAAAAGTCTGATTGTGCGAATATAAAACCAACTTTACCTCTATGCTTGGACATACGTGATTTCGTTTTTGTTACTGTTGAAGCAAGTGTTGAAGAGAAGTTATTTTATTTGTGTTAATTTTTTTTACTTATTTAAACTGGACATTTTTATTGTTTTGTTCATTTTAAACAGGATAAAGTGTCCAAACACAGAGAAAAAAATCCTGCTGAAGCAACTGATCTCCACACTGTTATAAAAATGGCGTTTATTAAAGAGGAGAGTGAAGATGTGAAGATTGAAGAAACATTCACAGTCAAACAGGAAGATACGCAGGAACAAACAGGTTGGTTTTCATTCTCAAACACCAACTCAGTCATATAGAGGTAAAGTTGGTTTTATATTCGCACATTCATTCATTTAGAAGTCTCTATATTGTTTACCATGTTAATCAAGCTCTTATGGACCGTTTCCACTAAGTGGTTCGGTTTGGTTTCCACTGTTAAAAGGCGTACCAAACCAAACCGTACCGTACCGTACCACTTTTTTGGCACCCTTTTGAAAGGGTCCCAAACACTAAGGCCGTACTCACACTAGGTAAAGTTGCCTCGAACCGGGCCAAAGCACGCTTGTCCCCCATCCTGTCTGCCCCGACGGCCCGCACTCACACCACAAACGGGCCTCGGCACGCTTAAGTCATCATTGCTGTGCTGTTCAGTGAGAAGCGCTCTCTCAGCAGCACAGTGGAGATTTCTCTAGTTATATCGTTTCAGTCGTTTGTTATGCAGTGACATGCAGTCAAATATTTCGCCAAACAGTCCTTAGGGATGCGGTGACACGCAGTCAGATATTTCGCCGAACAGATCCGCCACTTTTGGCGCTCATAAACAATCATAAAGCTCTCGTGCTGCAGGAATGAGGAGGTCTGCTGAAGCTGCGCAGCTGTCGTGCTGTGAGGAGTTCTCGTCTTTAATAAACTACGGCAGTTTGCGTTCACTGAACAGTAAGAATGATTAATAAATTCATATGAAACTACCCCTTAAAAGTCACGTCTTGCTTTCAGTTTTGGGCTTTGGCGCGTTTTGTACTCACACACAAGCGTACCGCGCCAAAGCCCAAGTGAACCTCGCTCAGGCCCACCTCTTCCAACCGGGCCAGGGCCAGCCAAGTGAACCGTGTTTGAGCCTGATTCAGCGCACTCACACTTCTCAAACGATCCGGGAAAGGGGCCTGGGCACGGTACGGATGGCATAGTGTGAGTAGGCCCTAAAAGGCAGAGCTAGACGCGCAGCTGAACGCTATTGGTTTACAGAGATACGTCATTCGTAGACACAACAAGCCAGAATCTAAATAACGGACCCGCCATGTTTAAAATACACAGCGAGAGATTACAGCGGAATTATAAATACATATGCAGCCATGGTCGATCCGGGCTCAAACAAACCCTGTCGTCATCTTGATAAACAGCCACAAAGCCATAGAGAAGAGCGGATTTACCCTGTGCCGCGTAATTTTTTACGAGCCGGTCTGAAGCGTGAGTGGTTTCGCATTCTTCTTTGTGCTCGCTGCTCGTCTCTATCTGAAATAACAAACTTCTTGAGCTGATAATAATATATGCGCTTGATTATTGACAAGCTTTGGAAACCCGGTCCTGTGAGAAGCTGACAAACGCGGGACACATTCTGTGACACAATCAGAAAGAAAAAGACAAACGCGGGAGTGGGGCGCGGAAAAAATCCCTTGTCTTAATCTTTATTATCACCTTTTAGACTAATATGAACTGGGAATGATGGAATGACTCTCTAACAGAGGCTACATGTGCTGCTGAATATTACAGACACAGATGAGAGGTTTTCACTGACTGGAGGCTATACTCAGGGCCGGCGTGTCCATAGAGGCGACCTAGGCGGCTGCCTAGGGCGGCAGTATAGAGAGGGCGGCGTCCGCGACACCTCCCTTACCACCCGCGTCCTCAGTTATGTCTGCGACACCTCCCTCACCACCCGCGTCCTCAGATATATTCGCCCATAGACGACAGAATAGAGAGGGCGGTCTCAGCGACACCTCCATCAGCACCCGCGTGTCCTCAGTTATATCCGTGCATAGGGCGGCAGAATTGAGGTCCGCTACACCAGCACGTCCTCAGTTACAACCGCGCATAGGGCGGCAGAATAGAGAGCGCAGTGTCCGCGACACCTCCCTCCTTCAGCACCCGCGCGTCCTCAGTTATATCCGCGCATAGTGTGCTGATTAAGAGGTCTGCGACACCTCACTTCATTTTCATAACCGGTCACTTTCATTTTCACATTAGGGTTGAGGGCGGCAGTTCAGCTTGCTCCGGCCCTGGCTATACTTTGTGTTGTTTTGAACTTAATTAAGGACGAAATGTCTGCTTTGTGTAGTTCTTCTGTAGTTGGTAACATATCAGAGACTATAAGGGTCTGTATGTGTTCATATATCTTCATTTATTTATTTACTTTATATAATTACAGACGTTACAGTAGGCTATTTCGCACCGTCATTGATCTGCAGTTATAATCAACTAATGTTCATAGAAAAGTTAGTAATAAACATTTATACGCAAGTATTTATGTGTGTAAAGCACCTGTTTTATGAGAAGTGCTTTTCATATGATATGTGAACGACCTGTGCAGCTTTACTGTAGACATTTTCTCGAGCGAAAATGACGTCGACTGAAACTTTGTCATACACCACGCCCACTAAAAGGGTACCCTTGGTAGTGGAAACGCAAGCCTGGTAAAGGTGACCCGTACCGACCCGAACTGTACCATACTGTACCAGTCAGTGGAAACAAGCCATTTGGTCCAGGGTCAAAACCAAATTTTTAAACACTGTAAATGAATAGATATACTCAATTCTTTCAAATGCCTTATGGGCATCTAAAGTAATTAAGTCCTTTGGATTGGTATTATTTTTAGGTAAATAAATAATATTAAATAAGCAACAAAGGGTATAAGATAACTGTCTCCCAACAATAAAACCAGTTTGATCTGGGTGAATTATCTTTCTCATGACTGACTCCACTCTGATTGCCAGCACTTTTGGCAGGATTTTATACACATTTAAGTGGATCCTTACTCTTTTGAAGAAGTACTGTTATAACAGCCGATGTCATGAAGGGGGGAGGGATTCCGATACAAGAGCTTTAGCGAATACCTTGCACAACAGGGGTGTTAACTTGGCACAAAACTTCTTATAAAACTCAGCCGGAACGCCATCAGGGCCTGGTACTTTTCTGATTTTTTTTTTTTTTTTTGTATTTTTAATTTTAGAAGGTGTTAAAATTCCTACTTTTGTCAACTGATCTAAATCACAGAGGGATGGTAATTCTTAATAATTAAAAAAGCTCTCAATGCGTTCAATTTCCTTTACCTCAGAGCTGTAAAGAGTTTTATAGAAGTTTTTAAATTGATCACTAATACCCTGTTGTTCAGTAATAATACTGCCATCATCCTTACTAACTGCTGCTATAACACCAGCTGCTGAGGATTTTTTCAGTTAGTAACACAATAACCTGCCAGCTCGTTCACCATGTTCATAATGAATCTGGCGTGATCTTATGTGGAGATCCTCAAGGAGTCATTCCACTTGCAGAATAAGTTTTTTTTTGAGAAGCTCTTCAGAAGATGATGTTGAGTGTAGCTGATCAATTATATTATTTTTTTAGATGCCATTGCCAATGGACGACAAACTTCACGATGCTGGGCCTGCATCACGATCCATCAACCCGCCCCACATTTATATTGATATATAACTTATTATTTTCATGTCATCGTAATAGCAATAACAGTCTTTTTATGAGCTGTGTTAAATGTTACATATAGCTGCTGCTTGCAAGGCTGACAGCATCGTGAGGATTAAATGAAGGGTTATACAATACCTCTCGTGCTTAAATGTGTAGATTCAGTGCCAAACACGGTTACCGGCGGACTTAAAACCACTAGAAGTTTTTTATCCACTCTTGGAAAAGTGTAAATGGTGGATTAACATTCAGCACATGATTACTAATAAGATGCGCCATTATCAATAACTTAAGGTAAACCTGTCTGTTATTTTCATTCTCTCATCTTCAGTGCCTCACATTTTCGCATCTATCCTATCATCTGAAGGCAGAAGGCATTGACTGAGTCATTGACAGCTGATATTAACCAATCATTTGCATTCAGTTGTAGAGCAGTGAGCCAATAAATAGAGCACAAAGGCGGGGCAAGCATTGCAGACTTTTTTTTACTTCAAGTTTACATAACAACTGTTTTAATCTGTTCCTGAGTGCTGCGTTTGGCGCTTTTAGGTGCAAAGATGCGTTCTGCATAAATGTCTCCTAAATCTGCGCACGCGGTGAGGATTTTACAGTAAAAACAAATGTATGCACTACAGTAAACTCCAACCGTACTCTCGTCTCCTCCACCAGCTGTGGGAAAAGCCATTCACTCTTTTTTTAACTAGTGACATAAGTATTTTCTTTCTCATTTGTGTTTAAAGGTCTTTAGATTTTGGCATGATGTCTAGCTTTTGAAGCTCTTTTGGTCTACTTCACTTTGTCAGACAGGTCCTATTTAGGTGATTTCTTGATTGGGAACGTGTGTGGTAGTAATCAGGTCTGGGTGTGGCTAGAGAACTTGAAGTTGGTGTGATAAATTAAAGTTGTTCTAATGGGAATTTTTTTAAGTGCCTTTTCACTGAGAGTGTTAATGATTTACTAAAAAGTAAACTTATTTTTATTTCAGACCTAATTAAAGACTACGATGAGAGTAAAGAGGAGGAACATCATGTCAAAATTGAGGATAAAACTCATTTAGAGACTGATGGTATTTTAAAAGTGAGAGACAAGAGTTGTTTAACCTGCACACAGTGTGGAAAGAGTTTGGCAAGCAAAAGCAAACTAAAGACTCACATGAGGATTCACAATGAAGAGAAACCATTCACATGCTATCAATATGGGAAGAGTTTCAGCAAATCATCACTTTATAGACACAAGAAGATCCACACCGGTAAAAAAACATTTACTTGCACTCAGTGTGGGAAGAGTTTTAACTGCTCATCACACCTTAATCAACACATCAGGATCCACACTGGAGAGAAACCATTCAGATGCACTCAGTGTGGGAAGAGTTTTAACTGCTCATCACACCTTAATGAACACATGATGATCCACACTGGAGAGAAACCATTCACGTGCACTCAGTGTGGGAAGAGTTTTAGCAAATCATCGTCGCTTTATAGACACATGAAGATCCACACTGGAGAAAAACCATTCACTTGCACTGAGTGTAGGAAGAGTTTCAGCCAATCATCATCCCTTAATGTACACATGAGGATCCACACTGGAGAGAAACCATTCACATGCACTGAGTGTGGGACCAGTTTCAGTAAATCATCATCGCTTTATACACACATGAAGATCCACACCGGAGAAAAACCTTTCACTTGCACTGAGTGTGGGAAGAGTTTCATCCAATCATCATGCCTTAATGTACACATGAGGATCCACACTGGAGAGAAACCTTTCACATGCACTCAGTGTGGGAAGAGTTTCATCCACTCATCACACCTTAATCAACACCTTATGATTCACACTGGAGAGAAACCATTCAAATGCACTCATTGTGGGAAGAGTTTTAGCCAATCATACCTTAAAAAACACATGAAGATTCACACTGGTGTAAGAGAGTACGTGTGCTTGGAGTGTGAGAAGACTTTTATTACAGCTGCAGAATTGAAACGGCACCAGAGGATTCACACTGGAGAAAAACCGTACAAGTGTTCACACTGCAGTAAGAGGTTTACTCACTCAGGAACCCTGAAAACACATGAGAGGATTCACACTGGAGAGAAACTGTACAAGTGTTCACACTGCAGTAAGAGGTTTGCTCACTCAGGAACCCTGAAAGCACATCAGAGGATTCACACTGGAGAGAAACTGTAGACATGATCAGTGTGTACTAGGGTTGGTTACCGAAACCCGGTGCCATTTTAGCACCGCTACCTTGGTAACCGGTATGTATTAAATCAGCATATGAATTTCGGTGCTTAATTTCGGTGCTGCGGCATGAACGTGAGGGGTGCATGAAAAAAGGCACATATAGGCGTTGTGTCACAGCATCACTAAACATTTAATTCTAAACAACTTTGAGGAATACGGACAAGCGATATCAAGCAATTGTTATTGTCGCTAGGGAACAGACGCACGCAACGCACGCAATACAGCGCATTTAGCCTGGAACCAGTGGTTTTCGGTGAGCGAGAGCGACACTCTTCAGATCAACATGCGTGATCACGTTCATCCAATTTGCCTAAACTAAGCATTCTAAAGCATATTTTACAAGCAAGGATTCTTACACAACAACTGTCTTCACAAAAGTAGGAAACATGTCAAACTTAATGACACATGTAGAACAGATGTAACACATTGATCAAATGTAGTTTTCAGTCACGCTCATGTAAGTCATATTCAACTGATTTCCGTCTTGAGCTCATCATTTATTTACAACACATTTTTAAACATAATAGTTTAACTAACTCGTTTCTAATATCTAACGTTACTTTTTTATGCTGACAGTCAGTGCAGAACATTTTACTAGTTATTTTGCAAGACAGTATTCAAACAAAGTCCCTTTAAGTGTTTTATAGTCTTTTATTCAGATTAAAGGGTAATTTAGACCAGAGGTGCTGTAACTATACCGCAGAGGGAGAAATGCCATCCCGCTGTTTCCACAGAGCTTCTATGTTTTTGTTGTTGGGCTTCCAAATGACACGACACAAGCACAGAAGTGCTTACAGTTCAATATTAATTATGTTCCAGAGAACTATAAAATACACAGCAAGCATGATTTGACAAAACGCAGCTTCCAGAATCTCTCCCAGTTCAGTGCTGGATTCGGCTAAAATCTCCTCAAAGATGGAGCAAGGACACGCTGTGAACTGAGTCATAACCTGTAAGTGTTTTTATTTGTTAAAATTGATCATGACATGTACAGCGTCTAGCCTTAACGGTGTGTTGTAGCAAAGATGTAAACAACGGGAAATTATGTTCATCGCTAACGACTTAGCTACAAATCCATACTTATCAGTCAAACGGCTGTAAACACACACACATACATACACGCACTCTTGGCCAGCATGCGCGTCTCTGTGTGAGACAGCAGTGTGTCTCTTATGTGTGTGCGTGACTGCACTGATTGTCTTCAGGCTGCTTTTCCATGCGTTCAACTCAAGACAATAAAGTCGCAAAAGATATGTGAACGATTCATGTTACTTACACATGCATATTCCGGATATGCGTGAAAGACGTCCTGTAACACGTTGATTAAAAAATAAATACAGCAATGCTCTCCCAACTGGAGTGTAACAGCAAAAACAAATCAATCCAGGCTCACAAAGGTCTCATCTCAGCTAACTTAACCCAAGCATGAGAGAAAAAGAAGAATAAATATCTCTCCCGCGATATTTCTCACATGCGCTTCTCGTGTTACAGATACTTCATAATATTCACACGCACACACACTAAATGGCACAGAAACACTTTTAAAGGAGCCGCATCCCATTTTCACTCGTTACAGACACGTGTTAACTAACTGACTGTTTACACACAACGCACGTGCTTCTCCGAGCATGACGTAGAGCCAATCGGCGAATCACAGCACATTATGATGATGACCAATCAGAGTCACTTTAGGGCGGGCCTTTTAGAGGAACTAGGCAATATGACAGTCGTTTTCATGTTAGCTGAGTAGCTGTGTATAATCTAAGTAAGATATATGAATAAATAACATGATTTCCTTTAAGTAAAACATGAGCACACATTGCTTTGCATCTTATTAACACAACCAAGCCTTAAAATAACATTCTGGACCACCCCTTTAATCAGTTCACTACGAAAGTTAAAATAATTAGTCTAATTATTTTGTAACTGATTTGTTGTGTAAATCAAAAATATACAGTAAATATTTCTTAAGGAGGCTAATAATACTGACCTTATTATTATTTTTTTTTTATTAAAAACGGCTTTTATTCATGAAATAAACAATAAGAAATAGGACTTATTATGACTCCAGAATAATTATGTTTTAGGAAACACTGTAAAAGTTTTCAGGAACATTATTTTAAACGAATAGGAGGGCAAAATAAATCGACTTCAACTGTAGGCCTGTTAAAGTTTACAGGTGCAGCAATGTGCCTTGATGTACTTGAACGTTAGAAATGTGTTCTCCTACACCAACATTACTTGTCAAATAAATATACAAGGAAGATTATTTTGAGTTTAAGTTATTTAATTATCTTGTTTATGAAGACTGCAGAGTGATGCATGAAAACAAATGACTTTGAATAATGTTTTAAGTATTTTGTGATATATTTGTTAAAATGTGCTCCTAAAAGTATGTGGCCCCTGCCCGCCCCCCACAGGTTAATAGTAAGCTAATGTAATTTCATAATGCAAATCTTAAATTCATGCTAACCAACAAATGATCAAAGGAAATGTATTAATGTAATACAATATGAATTGATGTTTACATTTAAACTGTAATTATGTTGTTCTATTAAAATTATAAAAAAAAAAAAAAATTTGTCAAATAAAATTTTTTTGAAGAGTTGTCCACCATCATTTTGTGGCTAAAAAAAAAAAAGTAGCGATTCAGGCACCCTTTTGGCACCGGTATTGTTTTAAAAGTATCGATTTAGCACTGGTATCGAGAAAAGAAAAAAAAAAGGTACCCAACCCTAGTGTCTACAGAGTTTCACTCATTCGGGGCAGCTTGAGAAACACATGGGATGGTTTCCAGTATGGTGTCGACACATGTAGCAGCATAGAAAGAGAGCTCCCATACACACTGGTATTAATCCTCCTTTTTACATCATATATGATAACCTAAACCATATTTAAATAACATGGAGTGCAATAGGCACAGCAAGGAAGGGCTTTTTAAAAAAAGGAAGGCTTTCCCCTCACATTAAGAAGTTATTTAAGACTTCAAGGTTTGGAGATCTTTTTCGTAATGTTTTTTTTATGTGGTTCAAGATATTCACGTTTGTGTTATTCGTGTTCCGATCACAGTGATTTTCGCAATAATATCTGATTATAGTATATGCAAAAACAGAAATATAGAGTAATTACTTTGAACATTAATGGGTTACTAAATCCGATTAAAAGAAGCAAACTTGTGGCTAAAATTAAAAGAGAAAACCAACAGATAATCTTCTGGCAAGAGACACATCTTTCTGATACAGAACATAACAAATTAAGTAAAATGGGATTTAAGGTTTTCTTTTCCTCATATAATAATGGTTGTAAACGAGGAGTAATGACATTAATCTCAGATAAAATCAACTTCCAATTAATTTCTAAGATTACTGATAAAGAAGGACGATATAACCTCATTAAAGGAACTATCAACCAAAATGAAGTTACATTAGTTAATATATATAGACCACCTGAAAAAGACAAAGCATTTCTCAAAAAAATATTAAGTGTTATAGCCAAGGAGACATCAGGTACGTTGATCTGTGGGGGAGAGTGGAATGTACAACTTCAGCCTAAATTGGACTTATCGTCTAATAAGCAAATTAGTCAAGAAGCTAGACAAATAAGATATTTGATGAAATAATTAGGCTCGATAGATGTATGGAGAGACATATACCCTCTTAAAAAAGAATATACTTTCTTTTCTTTCACATGTCTCATTCTGGAATTGATTTATTTTTTTATTATTATTTTTTTTAGGTCTGATCAACATAAAAATAAAAGACTGTAAAATAGGAACAAGGGACATCTCAGACCATGCAGGAGTATATTTAACAGTTTACCTGGACAATAAACCCAGTAAGACATTTTAACGATTTAACTCTAATCATTTTAATGATTTAACATGTGTAGAATATGTTAAAAAAGAACTATTAGAATATTTAAAACATAATGATAATGCAGAGGTGTCACCTAGTATCCTTTGGGACGCAGCTAAAGCTGTTATGCGAGGTAAACTTATAATGTGGGGATCAAGAAAAAAAAAAACTGAATTACATAAATAATCTGAATATACAACTTTAAGAATTAGAGACTAAATATTGTAATAAGAAAGATCCAGATATTTTAATAATATCAAAGAAGTTTAAGCGGAACTCAATAAAATATTTGATGAGCAAGTACAAATAAAAGTTACATTTTAAAATTTTATGAAAATGGTCCAAAAGCAAAAAAGCTCCTGGCATGAAAAATAAAGAAACAACAGGCAGAGAGGAGGATATTTAAAATCAACGATTCCAAAACTAAAAAGATATGTCATAAATTGGAGGAAATGCAACAGGTTTTTTTAAAAATACTATAAGGAATTATATACCTCAAAAGACACTATTGAACTTGCAAACATGCAAGCATTTTACACACATTAGATTTACCATCAATTGGATCGATACAAAATAAAACCCATAACTCAAAAAAAAAAAACTATAGAAGAAATAAGCAACGCTATATCAAAACTTAAAACATCTAAAGTACCAGGCGTAGATGGCTTTTCTGCAGAATTGTATAAAATATTCAAAGAACAAATTATGTGAATGCTTTTTGAATGCTGTAATCATACCTCACATGAGGGTGACCTCCCCTAGATCCTGGAGAAAAGCTATCATA